TGCAACCTAGAAGACACAAATTTGACTAACAAGTTATAAGTACATGAGTCAAAAATTATGGAAAAGTAAAAGAAAAGATTCTTTCATTGTTTTACAAACCGACTTCCCCAATGTAACAAATCTTTCGATTGCTTGAATGCTGAAATCATGGGTGTTGATTATGAATTGAAGTAAAATGAAATAGTTGGTTCTCCATCTGTCACAAAGTTGTCCATTTGTCCAGTGGTGAGGATTTCTGTTTACTTGATATTGAGATGCAATTCATATTGCACTTGCTGCAGAAGACCAAAGGACTACAGCCTTACATGTGGACTGCATCTCAACAATAAAATTTATAATAATATGGGACAAATATATTTTATCAGCATAACATGGGATCCCAAGTACCACTTAGAGCACTGTTTCTAAGAGTAAATTAAGATAACAAATGAGAAATTGTTGTACTTAAGAAAAATTCCCATTCCTTCTTCACCAAGTGCAGCCACAAAAGCTTAAGAAACAGAAAAAGTGCTAGTAAATGTGTGTCAAACATCTGCATGAGACAGGAAAGAATGCAGTGCTAAGTACACCACCTGAGGAGAGGGAACACAGGATCTTGGGCATCTTTTGGCAATGAAGAGGAAATACCTGCAGGAAAATATGTATCCCTACAGAGGGTAGACAACAAAGATATACACTGAAAACTGATCACAGCCAATATTTCTAAAATGAACTAGCAACATGAGAGAAAGAAATATCAAGACCATTTAGCAAGGTTTAACAGGTGACACAGGATTAGCATTAGAAGCGTAATACAAATATACAATCTTATTTTCCCAAGCTATTACTTATATTCTAGAAGATAAATTAATTGCTTACCAGTTCTGTTTCAGATCCAAATACTGAACGTTGATGCCTTCTTTAATAGCCTCATAGTTACTTTCAGATCCCTATACAAAGATATCAATAATGTAAACCTCTTGATTACAGGACTCCTTTGTCACCTTTGTATCTCCAGCACTTAGTAAAACACCTCATTCATATTGGTTGAAACATCTGGGGAATATTGTCCAAATTTTAAAAATTATTAATAAGGCAGTGTGATATCCAACAAACTCAGTATCTCATTTCTGCTTATCTGATGGTTGTTGTTGCTAGGTTTTGTCAAATGCAACTCATAGTGAGCCTATGAACAAAGGATTTGAACCCTGTTCTATCCTGTGCTATCATCACACTTCCAGACACACAAGAGCCCACTGCAGCAGTCACTGTGTCAGTTCACCTGATTGAGGATCTTCCTCTCTTCGTGGACTTTCCACCCTTCCCAATTAATGTCCTTCTCCTAGCAACATGCCCAAATTATGTGAGACAAAGTCTCATCATTCTTGCCTCCAAAGAACACTCTGGCTGCACCCTCTCCAAAACATGTATGTTTGTTCTCTTGGCTGCCCATGAGATGTTCAGTGCTGTTCTCCAACACCATAACTCAAAGGCATCAATTCTTTTTCTGTCATCCTTATTCACTGTCCAGCTCTCAGATGCATATCAAGTAATTGGAAAGACCATGGCCTTAATCAAATGCACTTTAGTCCTCAAAGTGGTATCATTACTCAATAATTTGGAGAGGGCCGTAACTGCAGATTTTCCCAGCAATGCATCCCCTTATTCCTGACTGCTGGTACCAAGGGTGTTAACTGTGGATCTAAGCAAGATGAAGCTGTTGACAGTTTCAATCTTCTCGCCAGTCATCATGATGCTGCCTGTCAGTCCAGTATTAAGAATCTGTTATCCTGACATTAAGATGCAATCCATACAGAAGGCTGCATTCCTCAATATTCTGCAACAAATGTTTCAAATCCTCATTTTCAGCAAGGTTCTGTCATCTGTACAAGAAAGGTTATTGATGAGACTCCCTCCAATCCTGATGCCACACACTCTTCATAGAATCCAGCTTTTCAGATAATTTGCTCAGCACATACACTGAATAAGTATGGAGAGAAAATACAACCCTGACACACTCCCTTCTCAAATTTAAACCACGTAGTGTTCCCCTGCTCTGCACAACAGCCTCCTGGTCCAGGTCCAGGTTCCGCATGAACACAACTAAGTTCTCTGGGATTCCCATTCTTCTCAAAGTCAGCCACACTTGTTATTATGATCTACATAGTCAAATGCCTTTGCATAGTCAATAAAGCACAAATAGACATTCTTCTAATATTCCTTACTTTCAGCCAGGATCCATCTGACATCAGCAATGATATCCCTGGTGCCACAGCCTCTTCTAAATCCTGCTTGAACTTTAAGCAGTTTCCTATCTATAAACAGTTCTAACTATTTTTTAATGATCCTCAGCAGTATTTTGCTTGCATGTGATATTAATGATACTGTTCGATAGTTTCCACATTCCAAAGCTGGATCACCTTTCGTGGGAATGGGAACAAATATGAACCTCTTCCAATCTGTTGTCCAGATAGATGTCCTCCAAATTTCCTGGCATAGACTAGAGAGTGCATCTAAGGCTGCATCTGTTAATTGAAACAAGTCAATTGGTATCACATCATCAATTCCTGGGGCCTTATTTTTTACCAATGCCTTCAATGAATCCTTCATTACCATTGGCTCCTGTTCCTAAAATTTATCTGAAAGTTATGCACTGTTTATTATATCGATATGTGTTCAACTAAATGAAACAACTCAAAGAACAAGCATAAGCATACTACCATAAACAGGAGTTATAGAAATTAACACTTTTGTTCCTTACCCAAATAGCATCAACAATGTTTTCCTTCAGGACTCTATTTAAATCCCAACTGTGAGCTTGTTTCTCTGAAGAATCATCTAATTCCCATTTATTGATGCTTGAACTTGTAAGGCTGTAAAAGCTTGATCTCTCTTTATCCCAGAAGACACTTGAAAGCTATATATGAAGAGAAGACAAAATTTAATAAGATCAGTAAGTTTTAATATTACAAAAGGGAGCCCTGATGCACACCCATGTTTATTGCAGCTTTGTTCACAACAGCAAGGAGCTGGAAACAACGTAAGTGCCCATCAACAAACAAATGGATGGAGCAGCTGTGGTATATTCACACAATGGAATACTATGCTGCATTGAAAAACAAGTTAACTCATGCAATATTATTCAAAATGGGTGACTCTGAAGAACATTATGCTGAGTGAAGTATCCCAGTCACAAAAGGTCAAATATTTCATGGTGACACTGTTGTAAAACAGGACTGACCTTGGGGTTGGGGAGAGAC